GACCACTGATAGTTGATAAGGGAACCAGATAGGCTTCAAGGGCGGGACTGACCCGTCATTTGTACCTGTGGCACATGTGCCCTCATTCTCTGCAGTCGCAATCAGGCTAGAGTCCGACCCCGCTTCCTCTGATGTCGCTCATCCTTGGCTGGCGCCGGCCGAGATAAACCCTTATCACCCAAACCGGCGGGTATATCTGTCTGGAACCAGGATGTAGTAAGGCTTCATGTGTTCATCGCGTGTTGTTTAACTCAGCCAGCTCGCCATGACGCTCCTGCAGTGGCTCGAGGTCCCCCAAGAAGGAGAGACCACTCCCGACCGATGGATTAATAGTGATATCGAACCCATTCAGGCGGATCGCCGCCGCTGGGGGTTTTGGACCTTCAACAATTATTGTCAGGGGACACCCCTCCATGTTTCCTTGTGCAGGCCTCGCTAACAGGAGTATTCTGCGCAGGGGTCCTCATCAGCTCCAACATCTCTGGATATATGACCGGCAGCTCGTTGATCGCCCTGGGACTGTCTTGGTGGCAAGCCATCGTCGCCATCGTGGTCGGGAATATCCTGGCGACCATTTTCATCGTCCTCAACTCGCTGCCCGGGGCCTATTATCATAGTAAGCGTTTGGCGGGGCTGACCCGCTCTGCATGTGTCTTCGGGTCTTAACTGACCTCTTGTTCAGTTGGATTTCCTGTTGTGAATCGGTATGTCTGGGGCATGTATGGCAGCCAGTTCGTCATCTGGAACCGTATATTCCTCTCCCTCAGTAAGTCCCACCGGTGAAAGTCAGAAACGCTCCCGCTGATAGGTCTAGTTTGGTGTAAGTCATTTAGTTCACCCGTCGCAGCAGATACTAACCGCCAACCTCACGACAGATGCCTTTCAGGCATGGATCGGAGGCGAGTGTGTGTATGTTTGCCTGCAGGCCATTTGGCCCTCACTGGAGAAGCGCATCCCCAACCACATGCCTGCCGACACCGGCATGACGACCGCCGAGTTCGTGGGATACATCATCTTCATGGTTCTTTCCCTGCCAGTAATCTATGTGCGACCGCATAAATTGCAAAAAATGTTTTACATCTCGGCTGTCATTGTTATTGTTTTTGAATTCGTACTGCTAATCTGGTCATTGGCGACCATGGGTCCCAAAGGCTTCGGTGACACGCTGTCTTCCGGATCGAATGTCTCTGGGTGGATGATCGCGTATGGAATCATCAGCACGATAGGCAGCATCTGCGCCGGTATTTTGAACCAGAACGACTACGCGCGGTTCGCACGACGACCTCGAGATGCCATTTATGGTCAGCTCTTCAGCGCGGCACTGTACGCCATCATAATCGGCGTAATTGGCATTCTCGTCACAGCGGCCACGCAGGAACGCTATGGAGAAGCCTACTGGAATCTTCCCAAGCTCCTGGGCGCCGTCATTGAGAGTGGGGGGTCCCGGTCGCGCGCAGCAGGCTTCTTCGGAGGCATCGCGTTGATTGTCTCGCAAATGGGGGTCAATGTCCCGGGCAACGCTCTGTCGGGAGGTAGGAAGATTTTTTGCACACGGCCCTTGTTGGAATCAGTAATTGACGAAGCTAGGGTTCGATCTGGCGGCGACCTTCCCCAGGTATATTAACATCCGTCGGGGCGCGTACCTGACGGCATTGGTCTCCATTGCAGCCAATCCATGGAGATTGGTCAATACGGCCACGGTATTTATCACGGTCCTTAGCAGCTACTCGGTGTTCATGGCGCCGATGATCGGGCTGATGATCGCGTCGTATCTGTGCGTCCACCAGCGAAAGATCAAAGTCCCGGACCTGTTTGTGGGAGATGCACGGAGCATCTACTGGTATACATACGGGGTAAATTGGCGCGCCATCGTCGCGGTAAGTCCCTCTTCCGCCTCCAGAGGCCCTACTTTTCCCCTTTGGTGGACTGACACGGGGCCCAGTGGATCTGTGGGACAGTCCCCTCGCTTCCCGGTTTCATTGCCTACGTCAATTCAACCATCCATGTTCCGGCCGGGCTGATGCATCTGTACTACATCTGCTTCCTCAGCGGTGCGTTGATCGCCGGCGCCGTGTTTGCGGCGCTGCATTATGTCTTTCCCGACCGACGGGTGCGATCGTTTCTCGCATCGGCCCCTACAGCTCGAATTTTGATCGAGGAATATCGGGACCAGCAGATTACGGTCGAAGCAGTAATTCATGTGAGGTCACCGAAGCTCGCGGATGATGAGGGAGAAACTGCCATCGATGAGCGAGTTTGATTTCCGCGACGTGGGCGGGTAGCGAGCTGTTATTGACGCGTTCCAGTTAAGGCAATGAATGGATGAGTATAGTGTTTCATATGATCGAACTGCAGCTTGATAGACCAAACTTCGCTATTAGATGCATCTATATTATTCACTATTGGAAGGTCCCTAGAGGCACACTCCCCTTTCTTGCCCGAGTGACATGGATATATATATCAGAGGTGACTACTAGCTGGTACTGTGGGGTGACTTGTAGCCATGCCGGCATTGTAAGATCAGGCTAGTAGTAAGTGGAACTGATTGAAGTATCGAACTGGTTGCCACGAACATATTTTCTCTTCTTGAGCGCTCTAGTTACATGGTGCCATAGCATTGATTCCCTTGATGTGGTGGAAGCGACTTGACGGTGACAAACCCAGTCCGATCGCCGACTGTCTCCACAGCGGCTGGAAATATCTTCACCCCGATGCGGCAATGGTCCAACCACCACACCCCCCTGAGATGCAGGACATGCAGGGTCTGGTCCAGACCCAAGTTGTGGGTTGCAGATAATATTATTCCGTATCAACAACAGCTGCTAAATAGTCTAGCTATCGCGATAAAATTACATTGTGCGCCAGTCAACCAATCCGAAACCGCAGCTGGACCGGAAATCCTTACCGGGCTCGGTTTAACACCGAGGATGACGCGTTCGGAAATCGATCGACAGGCGAAAATTGAAGCCGTCGAAAACCTCTTCAGGACCGTAAGGGAACGCCCTGAACCTCTTTGAACCTGTTCTCGAGATCTCCTTTCTGAATACCATAGATCCAAGTCAATCAAAATGAAGGAGGATGGTATTCAGACCAGCAGTGAGGGTAAACAGCCCGAACATTCCCCGCCGGGGGTCGTGCTGGTGCCTCGACCCAGTTCCCATCCCCAGGACCCGCTCGTAAGCATCTGGCCCCAAGAACACCTTTGGCCCCGGAATGTGTGCTGATGGCTTGAAGAATTGGCCATATCGTCGGAAACAACTTATTCTGGCCACTCTCTGTCTGGCCTCCTTTTCGGGGGCTATCGCTCCCCTATCTGGCCAGCTGAACCTGGCTCAACAGGCCAAGATCTATGGCAAAACAAGGGTCCAAGAGTCCTATGCTGTATGCCGACCGACTTTTGTCCTCGTTTTTGCTCCAATGTATGTCCTGACAAGCTGTATAGAACTCCGCCGCATTGGCGGGCATGGCCTTCGGGCCCTTCTTCTTTGCACCTGTCGCCCATCGACTGGGTCGCAGCTCCGTTATCTTCTGGTGCATTCTGTGTGCCCTCGTCTGTCAGATTTGGGCGGCCGTCATGACCCGTTCGGATGATTATATCCCCTACATCATTTCGCGACTATTTGCCGGCTTTTTCGGTGCTGTGCCGACTGTTTTGGGCCCGCGCGTCATCACCGACCTGCTGTTTCTGCATCAGCGCGGTCGGGCCTTCATGGCCCTGCATATGGCCTTCCTGTTTGGCACCATCGCCGGCCCGACCTTCTCGGCCTTCATCTCGGCCAATGCCTTCTTCCCCGTCGAGTTCTGGTGGACTGTCGGCCTGTTGGGTGCCACAGCCATCCTCATCTTCCTCTTCCTCGAAGAGACGGGATATGACCGTGAAAACCCTGATCGGAATCCTGCCATCCCGACCAACTGGTTGGCCAACCGCTGGGCTACCTTCTTTTTCGGCCAGCGTTTGGTGCAGCCCACCACCTGGTCTGTTACCGTGAGTGACGACCCTCAAAAGGAACTAGCTATAGGCTCTGTAATACTGACCATTGTTCTAGATGAAAATCGCCGTGGCGCCCATTCTGATCGGTATCTGTCCGGTCACAGTCATCATGGGTACCTTCACTCTCATTTCCTTCGGCTTCTACGTCGGCATGAATGCACTGGTGCCTGTGTGGCTGCAGCGGACGCCAGAGGAAGGTGGTTACGGTTTCTCCTTGAAGCAGAACGCCGCTTTCACCTTCTGCCACTGGATCGGCATCCTTGTCGTCCAGATTGTGGGCCACTACTACAATGACCGACTACCCCTGGCGTTGGCCCGACGCTTCAACCACGGTGCGTGGAAACCCGAGTACCGTCTGCAGGTGCTCTGGATTCCCAGTCTCATACTCAACCCCATCGGACTGGGTTTGTTTGGCGCCACTCTGCAGTATCACCTGCATTACATGGTGCTGGCACTGGCGGTATTCATCGTGACAATTGGCTCTCTAGCCAGTGTGCCGGTCACAGTCAACTACGTCGTGGAATGCTTCACGCGCTACCCCGCTGAAGCGGGTATTGTGATCGGCGCCTACCGTATCGTCTACGGTCTGACCATCAGCTTCTACATTGACCCGTGGGTGGCAGCCGTCGATGTCGGCTGGGTGTATGGCATGATGGCTTTCTTTGCCATCTTCTCGTTTCTGTTCGTCATGCTGCTGATGTGGAAGGGACATGCCATCCGCGAATGGCAGCTGGCTAGTGTGGCCAGCAGTGAGGAAGGTGTGCAGGTCGAGGATGGGATCAGTGAGAAGGGGACGGTGGAACACGATGGAGAGAAGTTGAAGGTTTGATACCCCTAGAAGTTGCTACCGGCACATAGCGTGCTGAAGTGTAATGTGTGTACCTAATTGACCGATCTATAATTTCGGGCATATACGAAATCATCTATACTCTTGTCTAATCGATCATCTAATCATCTCTGACACCTAACTGGGATACTTTTAGTACACATTGAAGAGGGAGCAACACGCTCACGCATGCAGAACCGTTCCATTCTCCTTCCTCACAAAGTCCAAGAACACGTCCAATTCCGGACTTGAGGCTCCATCCACCACGAACACCGCGGGCTTTCCAAAGGGCGCCGACACCTGCGCCGTCTGTCCTCCCCGGTAGGTCTGGCCACTCCACACATGGGTATACGTGCGGTTGGCACCGTGACCGGGGAAGTACACCTCTACGGACTTGTGGCCCTCATCGAGCACCGGCGCCACGTATAGATCCCGTCCAAGGAAGAAGCTCTCGTAACTGATCTGTCGGGCGCGGAGATCCTCGGGGTGGTAGAGCACCGGCATACGCAGCAATGGCCATCCGCGGCGCTGACTTTCCGTGTTGAGGATGCGGCGACGGTACGGACCCAGACTGCGGAACATCCGGGCGTTGTAGGCGAAGTACGCATACGTGGTGGAGTTGCTGTAGAACTGAGCATTTACGCTAGGCACGTTGCCCTCGTGCGACCGGAACACGGCACTCGACACGGCGCCCAGTTCACCCCAGCGGCCCAGAAGCTCAGCCGATCGTGGGATGGCTCCGGAGGAGTTGCTGGTGGTGGGAGGCTCGAAGACGGTCGTGTAGCCGCCAATGTCACTGTGACTGTGGGCATATCCGGAGATGCCCATCTGGCCTTGAATAGTCACCACTGATTTGATGCCGTCGTTGGGAGTCCAAAGAGTGGCTTGGTCGCCAACCCAGAATAGGTTCATGTGCCGGTTGCCGCCCATGGAGGCAGAGCGGTGGAATGTGACCATCTCATGGAACAGAGGCATCTCGGCGGCCACAGAGCGTTGGTAGGCCGCCCAGTCGCGCGGATACTGGTTGTGGTAGAAGAAGGCGCTGGTGGAAATGTTGGCCAACGAGGTATCAGAAGCGATGGGCGTGTATTCGCCAAAGTCCCACATGCAGCCGGAGATGTTGGCACTCCACACCTGCGTGCGAAGAACGTCGGCGAACCACGCGCGAGTTTCTTCGTTGGTGAGGTCCAGGATACCGGCGTCGATGCCCTTGCCGCTAGAGATGATCGCCGTGGAGTTGGTGGTAGTGTTCTGCACCATGTATCGGTGCTTGCTAGCCTCCTGGAAGAGATTGCGGCGATAGCCATCCGACTTGCTGCTGACGTTGGCCAGGAAAGGGTTCACGTAGGCGAGGGTGCGTACGCCGTGCTGTTCGCGTAGAGTTTGGACAAACTCGGCCCATGTGGGATACAGCGAAGTGTCGGGCTCCCAGTTCCACCACAAACGCGAGATGTTCATGTTGCCATAGGGGGCTGACTGCAGATGCGTGCCTGACCTAAGGCCGGTTAGTAATGATGAGTGCAGAAAAGCCAGGAGGTCACTCACCAATCTTGCAACCACACACCGGCGACCGGGCAATCGTGTTCAAAGCCTTGCTTCACAATGCGATTGACCTTCTCCTGTCCACCCTGAATGCCCAAAAGCGCGCCATGGTCCACCCAATCTGGAAGAGCCGGCATGCGACCGGTGTACTCAGTAAGCATGGTGATGGCGTCCAGCATGTTGTCAGCCTGCATCAGGTGGCCATGCACCGAGAGACTATCGTAGCGCACCGTGACAGCATCGGGGCGCTGGAAGTCAAAGACAGCGTAAGCCGTATCATTCTCGTCGACGTAGAAGACGCGACCGTCAGAGCTGACGTACTGAGGGATGGCCGTGTAGGTGGTGTACTGGTTGCCGCCGCTGAAGAAACCTTGCGAGTCCTCGATGGTCGTGTATGGCTGGTCACCACGTCCGACACCCTGCTCGCGGGAAAAGATGGGGATCGACTGATTCTTCATGGAAGCGAAGGACGCCTGCGCACCGAGACCGTAAAAGTCCTCCCGCGCGTGTGATGCGAATGTGAGATAGAGACGTTCGAAGGGGACACTGGCATTCGCATCTGAATAAACGGTGGCTTCAAAGGCAACGCGATCCGAAAAGGCCTTAGGAACCCAAAAGTTCATGGCATAGGCAATGTCCTCCCCACCACAATCCAGGAGATAACCGCGCACAGCGACCTGGTTCTTCACACTGTCGCGACGAGGGATACCCGCCAGCTGGGTGATATTCTGGCCTTGGCATCGGGCCTGGTCTACATTGGTGATGTTGAAGTTGCCGCTATCCTCGACAATCTGGTCCTTCCCGGCGCTGGCACTGAGGAAGGGCTGACTGGGGAGGGTTGAGAAGATGGTCTGGTTGTCTTGATGGATGGAGATCTGATGTTGGCTTGCCTGGTAGGACAGCTCCAGTCCACTGCCCAGGGGCCAGGTTGACCGGGCCTGCCCCAATGAGGGCAGGCCAGCCAGCATTGCCACGGCTCCCAGATAGGTCAACGACATCTTGGGCGAGAGACTTGATCCTGTCACAATGCTAGTATCCCGGGTTCTAGTCCGGCTTTATAGGTAGACTTCCCCACCGCGTCTGAATCACTAGATGTCCTCGTTGCCATTGCTAGCCTCCACTCAGTTGGATTGATGGGGACTATACATGAATCGCTAACTCGTAAAATACTCCCATCTAGGATAGACAACGGTTGATGGTGGTGCAGGACTCGGCTCAGTTGCCCTGTGGGAAAGAAATGAAGGGCCGTGTAGAAGCAGAAGAGAACCCTATGAGCGGACATTTCCCGACTCTGGGGCAGGCAGTGGACCCTTCGGCAAAGCTGGCCGAAATGCGTGAAGGGCATTCGATCATGTTTAGTCACGGATGGAGGCATCGGAAGCCACGAGAACCAGCATGCCGATTCTTACCCGAAATAGTCGAGTGTCCACTATCTGGGGAATCCGGAGAGTCTCCAGACGCCAATGATGCTCGTTCAACAGCCGCCTTCTTCCCCACAAACCCGGCTGGGGGAGTTGATCAACTCGGCTAATGAAGTCATATTTCCTGAATTTCAAGCAGAACTTACTCTATCTCTTCTGCCGACCATGTTAGTTCTATGGAGCCCCTCAGTACCGGCCAATCATTGTATCCCCCCATAGTGCCCTGGTCAGGCCATGGGCTCGAGCTTCTGCTGCTGCAGGATCAGCCTAGCGAGTCACATACTTGTCGGACGACGGTGTAACTAGTGGTCAAACAACCGCACGGTGTTTGGTATTCCATGCCTGTCTCCACAACTGGAAAATTTTCATTAGGCTGTTTCTGGATGGTCGCACAAGTCTCACGGCCCTTTTCCAACAACGGCAATTCACAGGAACTGCCTATAGCCCGTCGAAAACTTCAAGAGTACCCGTTTTGGCTGCAGAGCTAATGGGGAGGTGAGCCTCTGGGTTCCTGTGTCGGTTCCGAATGATCAGTATCACTCAGGTTACATGGCTTAAAACCAATCTACATCTGGGCCATCGCCCTATTTGTTGAAGTATTGTTTTGTATTCACCCTGCGCTTGTTGGTCAGCCGATTGACCTCGTATCCTGTCCGCCCATAGTCATTGGTCTTGGTTTCCATGTCGTGACTGCTGTAATCTCCTCACCTGTACTAATAGTGATGGCTCAGGTAGGCTCACTACTGCTATCTAGGGGTGGAAGAGGGGAGTTTGTTGGCCAAGAGGCATGTCCCTTTTTACATGCTATTCACAAGGGATTTGCTACTTGGAGTGCGTAAGCACTGAGAGTCTCTGGTTTAGCTCGAGATTCGAATGGAGATTATCTTTCCTATGCTTGCTTCGCACCACCAGTATGATAGTGGTGGTGTTCAGCTTCAACAGGCCATATTACCACCAGTCGGTATACGTTCCCTTGGTCCTGTTTGAGAAGATCCAAGGTAATGCGGCCTGTTGCATAGCCCGGACTAGTGCCAAAAATAAATTATGCTTATACCTTGACAATGAACAGGTTGTATTTTTAGAAGTCAGTGGTCGGAGGCTTGAGGGAATTAAGATTTACTTCGCCCACACCCGACCGCGGGGAAATGGCAGGGTTGATGACGCAGGGTTCAATCTTTGCCGACCCTCAACATAATCAGAAGATCAGGCACCCCATCATCATGCGATAGTTTGTGTTTCTAGCCTGCAGTTGGCAGTGTAGCGGAGGTACGGCTGGGCATGGGTTCTACTCTGTACGGGTGCCTCCTCGTATAGGCACCGTCGACCCTGGAGTCGATGATGTCAGTATCTAGGTACTCCGGAGTACGAACTACAGGATCAAACCCTTTACCCGAAGGAGGAATAGGCCCCGTCCTTTTTCAGTTCGGGTGGCGAGGAATCCAAACGGGAAGATACGAGGGCAAGTTGGGAGGTTGATTGGCGGAACCATTCAATGCCTCTTGCGGAGGGTTCAGCCGCTTCCAGCAGTATTTCGAAGTAGCACTTATTGACGTTACCAGAGCCTTGATAATCTGTTGTTGATCGTTTCCCATGGATATTCAGCTACCTGCATGCCTAATGTTGACTCTGTCTACGTTTCAGACATTAAAACCTCCCACTGCCTGAAAAAAAATGTCCTTTTTATCTTATACCCGCCACAATGAGCACCGTGGATGACCTACAAATAACTTACAGCTTCTTTGTGTTGTCATGATACCGAGGATGGGATATGCGCAAGGTTATGTGGACAACGCCCAACCGTACGACTGCCACTACCCATGGATCCCCTCGGGGCATTGCGAGAGTTTTCGGGTTCAGCCGGTGGTTATGCCGTTCACCATTTCGTGAGTTAGACATATTCATTGCTGTGCCTCGACGGAAATATGGTACGTCTCCAGCCAGCTCCAAGTCACCACACTGACCAACTCCCTATTACCAACTTTGACTGCCCTCTCCGAATCATCAAAATGACCGGAACAGGCTAAATTCCATGAATAGCAGCGTCATGATCGTGTCAACATTGATCCCGAATAGGTCAGTGTAGGTAGAAAAGGGGTCGCCTGATGAACAGCTTCCACGGTTTCAGTCAGATGAGGTAATTGCATTCCTCGTATAGAGCAAAAGTGGTACACGGGGATGCCGTTGGTCATGAGAAATCGCTCAGTGTCTGTATAGTTAAGGGGCTGGACTTCTTCCCTTTTCTGTCTATAAAAGGCCGGCGAATCTCGTCTATCGATGACTCTCCAGCAGCTCAAAACAAGTGAGTTGCATTGCAGACATACTACTACCACTCCACTGGACCCTCACTAGACTACCTCCTTTCAATATGAAGTTCACTTTGCTTCCTGCCCTTCTTTCGACCTCTGTCCTTGGGCTCAACATCGGTCGAGCGCAAGCTACTGCCCAAGTCACATTTATTGGGGCAGCTGGTGCCCAATTCACCCAGGACTTCCCCACTGATGGGTCCAATGTCAAAATAAGTATGTTCCCCGCGCACTACTATTAGGTATCTCGGCTAATATCACTAGCCAACCCCCTCAGTATCTCACACATATCTTGCAGCACCCAGGGTGCTGTCTGTGCCTTTGATGGCATTGACCACAGCGTAACTACTGTGACCGGCGTGGGTCAGGTTGATGTCGGTCCTCCGCAGACCCAGGTTCAGGGGTCTTGCCGGTTCGGATCTGGATCGACTCCCAGCAATCCTGGTCAAACACAGTCGACTGGAGGTCAGGTGCTCATTACCTTTGAGGGTGCTGCAAATGCTCAGTTCCAGAAGCAGTTCCCGACTAATGGTGTCAGCACCAAAATCAGTACGTATCAGGCAAACTAGATATATCTGGGAAAGCTAACCGAGGAAACCAGGCAATCCCCTAAGCATCTCCCACATCTCGTCCACCACGGGTGGCGTTAAGTGCACCTTCAATGGTATTGACAACAGCGTTACTACCATCAATGGTGCCCAGACGGTCGATGTTGGTCCTCCGCAAACCCAAATCTCTGGCACGTGCCGTGCTGCTTGAGGCCATTGCAAGCCATTGTCATCGCGCCTCTTCGGAGACAGATGTGAATGGAGGAGCGGTGTGCTTTTGCCACGGCATGCTTACATTACTTCTGACTTAATGGTATTCTGTGGTAGGATTTTAATTACTTGCTCTTACGGGTATTCTGGTCGTTGTAAGCAGTAATTGGATCGTTTCAGCAAATACTTCCTGCATGTATTGTCTTGTTTTTGGGCTTGAGGACGTCCAAGACCTAATTGAGAAGATAGCACACCTGTACAATCCCTATCCAATTGAGTGCTCTGTATCGGAACTGGAAATACATCATAAATGAAAGTCGTACTCTACGTAAGCTACCTGGAGTTTCGAACAACGGGCCCGTATTGCCTTACTGAATTCAAGAAATGCAGCATGTGCACCTCTGCCTTATCGAACATCCTCTACGCTGTAACCTAATGTCTATCTACGGTTTATGGAAGATCAATCAAAAGAATGACTCATATTCAACTGGGGCCCCGCAAAGTAATACTAGAAATCAGAACTATCTACAAATTCCTCCTCCAATTTCTCATCAAATGCTGTGCCAATCACATCATCACATCACTGCATGCCAATCAATCCGCTATAAATTGAGCTGATCAACGTTTCTGCCACTGTTCCAGTTACAGTGACAGGCCTCGTGGGCACGCTTACTCGTAGGTAATGGTCACCTCGGAGTCGCTGTCGATGGTAACATCAGTGACCACCTGGCCGTTCTCCTCGATCTCGATGATGGTAGCATCCGTAAGGCCAACGCTCTGACCTCCCGCAGCCTTGGCCACAGCACCGGTGAAGGTGACAGTGCCAAAGTCCACCAGGTCGACGAGCGAACCATTTTCCTCGAAGTCTAGGATCCCGTTAGCGTTTGACAAAGTTGGGACAGGAATGTGCGGCTCATATTACCTTCCACAATCCACTCTGCGTTCTGTCCTCCAAGGCTGGAGCTGGAGGACAGCTCCTTGGTGACCTTCTGGCCGGTGCTCTTGTTCTCAATGATAGCAATGCCGGTGGTCGAGGTGTAGGACTCGACAATGGCAACAATCTCATCACCGGCAGAGATGTCGATGCCGCTGAAGTCGTAGGCATAGTCCGGGTACCACTCATACCAGGCATCGAATGAGGCCTCTCCGTCGGTCACGGTGAAGTCAACACCAGTTTGGAGGATGGCGTTTCCATAGGTATCTCCGTCGATACCAACCCAAGCAGATGCAGCCTGGCTGCCTCCAGAGTTGCCAGTGGGCTCAGGGACAGTGAAGGTGCCGGTCACCGCGGTGTAGGTAGCCGCGGCAGAAGGAGGTTCCACCAGCACTGCACCGGACCAGTTGGAGCTGTACTCGACGTTGGTCTGGTTCTTGGTCGAGGCAGGCCTGGCGACTGCCTGGAGGGGTCGGGATCCCTTGCCGGTACCACGGGCCCTGAGGCGAGCCTCGAGGCCACGCTCGGGAGCCGCGACAGCAACGCTGGCGAGGATGGCAGTAGCAATTGCAGCAGTGAACTTCATCTTGATGAGTTGCTAGGTAGTGAACCTGGGAGAAGAGGTGTTTGTGCGTTGGAAGAATGAGCTTTGATGTCTTGAAGAACGTTGTAGTGCGATGGAGATGAGATGAGAAGAACAGCAGATTTATCCTGATATTTATAGGATGGCTCTTGGCTGAGTATCGATCAGGTCAACACTCTTCACTAATGGCATCATCCTTCCTCATACCATCCCAGAGGCAACGCCATGAACACTTTGCGACGATACCACAGCGAACTGCCTGCAGAAAGTGGCGACATCCCGACTGTCCAGATTGAGATGCATCGGAGTCCGGTGGTGGAATCAAATCACCCTAGTAAATTCAGGAGTTTAAATAGCGTCCGCCGTTGGTTATGTGTCCAGGAAGATTACAGTAGTAGCACGTCTTACGCGACGCAAATTGCAAGTCAAATCACGTTAACCACAATCACCTTACACCAGAAAATCTTTAACCGGTGCATCAGTGTTTGATATCTAGCTACATAGTGTAATAGAACTTGTATAAGCGATCTCAACTGAGGGGTTGGCATTGGTAATGGATACCCTGATCCTTAGAGATAGATCCGGCCTACCGATAAACAAGCTATACACAGGGCATCGTCCGCATCCAGGCACCACCGCTAAGGATGCCAAGGAATCAGTTAGAACAGCCATGTAAGCCCGGTTAATTTAATTTGCTCGGCATTGAAGCAGGCATTATCGGCATGACGGCCTATCACCTCCGCGCAGGGCCATTGAGATTGAGGTCAGGCTTAGTTTGCGTCATTTTGGTTCAGATTACCTGACACCCTGCAGAACCCTTGGGCTAACTGCCCCCGGGGAAGGTTCTGCTCCCGTTAAGTCCGAGTCAGGATTTTTCGTAGTTGCTATTTGGTAATCCCTTTGCTTGACGAGACTAAAGAAGGATGGTCTGCGTTATCTACTACATTCAAGAGTTCCTTGATGTTTGGTGCTATTCAAATGTGGTGAATTACACAACGGAAAGGCCGGGTTGCGTCATGTATCCTGATATCCGTACCAGGTGTGCCTCCAGGACTGTCTTTTTTTAACTGCTTGCTTATGTCGCCTTGTTTTCAGTCGTGCTGGAAAGGAGTAGAATATATCATACTGGACTCCCTGCTCCAGCGACCGGCTTGGCCCGCCCTAGGCCACCAAGAGTGGATATAGGTCGATTAGGCGCACAGCCAGTACAACAGTTCATTCTCGACAGGGACTGGAGTATTAATGAATCCCTGCCATATATCAAGGCTCCGTAACTATCAGTGATTATCGATGCAAGACGGACTACTACGAGAAGTAAGTAATCTTTTGAGTACAACAAAGATATATTTCGACGACACTCGCATTAGATTGGAGAATCCACGCCGAAAACTTCTAAAATCAGCATGGAAGACGGAATGAATACAAAATAAAGGTATCTAGTACTCCTGCAGCCGTAGTATTCACAACACAAACAGCCTGAGGATGGTGGGCGAAGTATATACACCTAAGGAGACTTCTGCATTGGACGACCCGACGGTAGCCCCTGTTTTGGTATTGGTATCCGGAACAGACCGACAGGACCCACGCCCCTAGACATTCCTGCCACTCATGGATCATGTCACGCAAGGAGGGGTTTCGGCTGGGTGGGGAAGATGGCTTGCTCACCTCGTTGACAACGCATTATGATTGATTGATTTGATTGATTCGCTTTTCGAACCCCGCCGCTAAAGTGTGCCGCCAGTTCCGCTTCGGACTCTGCGGTCAGAAAGTTGAAATTCAGTGTCGCCGAAGTCAATAATCTTCAGGTCTAGCCTACTGCCGCCAGAATGACCACCCAGGATGAAGACATCATGGCTTCTCTCCTGGAGGAAATCTTGCGCCAGAGTATGGGAGTACCGCAGGCCCTGCGTCTAGCCTAGCGCCCCATGCCTCATTTCGGCGGAACTTGGGTACATCCGAGGCGTTCAGCATCATCATCAATATCGTAATCGGAAGCGGGATTTTGACCTCTCTTGGCGCCATCGACACCAATGTCCCCTCCCCAGGTGCAGCCCTGGTCGTTTGGTTCGTGGGGGGGCATCTTGGCTTGGACAGGTGCTGCAACTATGGCCGAGCTCGGGGCGGCGTTTCCGGGTGAAGGTCCGTACAAACCCTCTGTCTTCGATCCCCCTTCACTCGCTCACTCCTTTCACCGCAGAAGGTGTTCAACAGTACCTCCAGTATATCTACGGCGAGACCTTTGGCTTTCTTGCCGCGTGGACATGGGTCGTTGCGGTAGTGCCGGAGAATTGTGTTCGTGGAAAGCATCTACTCTGCGACCGCGGTGACCGATCAACCTGATAGGATGGCACATAAGCTTCTATTCTCTCTGGTGTTGCTTATCATTAGCATGGCAAACTGGGTCAATTCCGAGCTGCTATCGCAGTCACCGTGGTTGCGGGACTGGGTGTCGTCTGCTATCACCTTGCTGGCTGGGATAAACCCAATCCACAGGAATCCCAGGACCAGTTAATGAGAGCCTGGCTTAGTGCTCCCAACACCGTTGCCTTGGACGGGAGGGAGATAGAGTGGCAGAAGTTACATGGGTGGGAATCTATCGGTCTTTATTCCGCCGCACTTTATGGTGCACAGTGGGCATACTCTGGATGGGATAAGGTATGAGGCAGTGAAAGGGCTGCCAGACTAACCCCCGAAGTATGCTTTGATGGTGGCTAATCCATCGCCAGGCAATCTATGTCAGTGCCGAACTTCCTGCTCTGGCCCGTCAGTTGCCCCTAGCCATCAAGACCGCGGTTCCCATTGCCATCCTCAGTTTCATCGCAGTGAATATTGCCTATTATATCCTCCTACCTTGGAGAGTAGTGTCTACAACTGATAGTGTAGCAGTGGTATAAATGTCTTCATGGGTGTCACTGACATGAAAGTGAGTAAGTATCGCAGGCTGATACTTTGCCGCAGACATCGTTTAGTCACCTACTTGGATCTACACTTGGTGCCATAGCAGCGGGTCTTATCTGCCTGGTGGTGGCAGGACCCTTGCTGGGAAGATCGTTTGGCGCCGGTCGCATAGTGGTTGCTGCAGCCAATTCCAACTGGTTGGCCGACTTCCTGGCCCGCGTTGGCTCCGTTTCAGGGCGATCGACTTCGACAGCATATGCCCCCATCAATGCGATTCTCTTTTCTACCGCCTGGTCCATTGTGTATATTCTCTTTGGGAACTTTCGGGGCTTGGCGACATTCAGTGGTCTGTCTGCATGTATCTTTTTCTTCCTGACCATGGTTGGTGCCATCATCCTTCGCGTCCGTGAACCAGAGCTCCCCCGCCCGTACAAGCCGCCGATCTGTGTCCCCGTTGTGTTCACTCTGGTCAGTGGGTTTGGGGTTGCTCGTGGTGCAGCTTTTGCTCCTGTGCAGGCCATGGTGCTCATTGGACTGTGGCTGGTGGGCCTAGGGTTGTATAGTGCGAGGAGGTAATGGATAGAGAAGGGAGAGGCGGAGAGTTGCGAGAAATAGCTTCGATACACGATGCAAAACCGTCAGGGAGGCGCACTGGATGCTAACTCAAAACATGTGTATCCAAGTCGGGTCAAATTCGGGATTGCGCTTGTGGAATTTTACAGAGCGTAAGAGGTAGTCCTCTCACCCTGCTGGTATGAAGTCGCCGGGGATGCGTTCCCTGCATCGATGGGGCAATTGATCATGATGAAGTAGTGGTGAGTTGAACCCGTCAAGCAATTCACCTGGCTTGCCTGAAAATGCACCGGAGTTCGGAAGTTTATATCCGATGCACCGGCAAGGACTTCACCTTCTGTTGCACAACGGTCGCGACTTCTCACTTGATCATTAGACTATTCTATTGACCGAGATATTCATTCGCACAGCCTTTTGACGGCGGTGGATACTGAAAAGGAACAGCATCACGGTCTTTGCTTTGTTCTGAGAATAGAAAAGCAAAGCATCATCCTGTGTAATCAATATACAACCAGCGTCGTTCATAATATCACCTTTCGTTTACTGCCCGTTCACTGTCCGTTCACTGTCCGTTCGCTGTCCGTTACATCATCGAGCACAGTGGCCAGATGGACCACAAGGAAAAAGGGATCCCTGGTTTCCCAATTCACACTGTAATGGATTGGAATGGACCAGACGACCCTGATAATCCTCGCAACTTCTCGCTGGCCAGGCGTTTCGTGGGAATTGCCAGTGTGACCCTGCTGGCCTTTGTCAGTGCCATTGCAGGTGCCATCTATGCACCCGCACAGACAGCAGTGATGGAAGTCATGAACTGCAGCTCCGAGGTCGCCATGCTCCCACTCGCCCTATATAATCTGGGACTAGCATTTGGGCCTATTGTTGGGGCACCCCTGTCTGAAACCTACGGTCGCAAAGCCGTATATCTTGCAACTACTCCAATTTTCATGTTGTTCATGATTGGCGGCGCCGTGTCGAAGACTATATCGGCCCTGACTCTGTGTCGTTTCTTTGCTGCTGTCTTTGGGTCATCAAACATCAGCAATGCCTCGGCAACCATTCTGGACTATACTCATGACAGCGAACGTGGCACCGTCCTCGCTATCTACTATGCAGCCCCAACTGTTGCTGCGACCCTGGCACCTCTCGTTGGGGGACTTATCATGATTCGCACTGGAGAGTGGAGCTGGACACAATGGGCACCGGTAATTCTCGCGGGAGCTTTCTATTCACCGTTGATCTTCACCAGAGAGACCTATAAAGCGGTTATTCTTCGACGTCGGGCGATGCCACTGGGCGCGGCGGACGTTAACCGTGAGATGATTATTGGCGCTAGATTCCGGCACCTCTTTATAATTCTTTTCCAGCGGCCTATTCATATGCTTCTGACCGAACCAATAGTGACATTCATCAGTCTATACAATGGGCTCCTTTTTGGTTTGTTGTACGCATTTGTGATTTCCGTTCCTTGGGTATTTGAGAAGTACTATGGGTTCGATACGACCGCTCAGGCTCTTTCGTATCTTGGTGTGACCGTGGGAAATATAGTTGCTTGTATACCCCACGCTCTGATAGACCGGTACTTCTTCCTGCCGCGGCTGTATTCGTGGAAACAAGCCCACGAGCCGAGCCTCAAAATGCCTCCGGAGTCTCGTCTTGTATCAGCGTTGGGGGGCAGCTTGCTACTTCCACCATCGTTACTCATTCTTAGTTGGACTGCTAATTTCCAAGTCCATTGGATTGTACCCATAGTATTCCAAGGTCTTTCGATGTTTTCCTGCTTGCTGGTGTATTCCGGGACGAACCTTTATATGATGGACACTTACGGTCCACTTTATGGTGCATCTGCCTCAGGCGCAATGATGTTCAGTAGATACATACTCAGCTGCGCGTTCCCCATGTTCACTCTCCAGATGTTTGAAGGGCTTGGTGTAGGATGGGCAACCACACTTTTGGCTGCTTTTACTCTTGTTATGGCCCCGATTCCGTGGATATTTTGGGTTTATGGATCGCAGATTAGGAAGGCGAGCAAGTATGAGAATACCCTATGAGCTGGTCCTCTTGTATTGGTAGCAGGATTCTGGATCCTCTCGCCGTTCAAATCCTACGCCTTTCAACAAAGTCATGAACGAAAAAATCAATCCCTCAGTCTTGAAGCTGGTCTAGATATGAATATATTACAAGATAATTAATTATTTACTTACGGTCCAGCTTCCCTCTTCTTTGCGTAGGAGTAGCCTGTGACGGAGGATGAAACAAAGATTATGATGAGCTTGGTTAGCAGCTATTTATCATACATTTCGCGATATGTCTGGCTTTGCCGATTTCCTAGCGTGTCTATCGAGGACGATGTAGGTAAAGAAGTGGAAGCAGAGGATGAGGACTCGACCAACTAGTGTGGCCAAGGCAGGAAGGCGAAGAATGCGCAGCAGCTTGAGGGTAACTGTGCTCACTCCACATGGCACGCTAGTTACAATTTATGTCTCTTTCGACCTTCCTTGATTGCCCGCATCTGCTCCCCTGGGATACCCGTTGTAACCAATTCCAGCCCCGCAAAAACCTCGTCGCAGTTTTGCTGACTATCTATCCGTCTCTCCGGTTCACGAATCAAATATTTGATAGACAGCAAATTAGATTGCGTGGCGATCGGACTGAATCGCTCTTGTACTTCTTCGAGTACCCGCTTCAGAAACCCAACAGAATCATCTGGCTTTCCGGACGGGGCAGAGATAACCTCGTTGACAAACCCGTTGGCAACGAGCTCTTCGCAGGGTATCCGCTTGCTCATTACCAAGGCTTCGTTTGCTTTGGAAATCCCAAGGCGCCGTACAAACGAGCGAGACGCTGCACCCTCAGCTGCGACGCCGAGCGAAGAGAACGGTGTGAGGAGAAAGGTATGGGGCGCAGCATATATGAAGTCTGCATGTGCAATGAGAGCTGCCGGAAACCCGACAACCGGTCCATTCAATGCCACGATAAGAATTTTGGAGAAATTGACGAGTATATGGGTGAGGTCGAGATTTAAAAAGTAAATGCTACGCATGTTGCGTCGTATATCGGTTCCGTGGGACATGTTTCGAGAGGTAGAACTAACATCGGTGCCCCTGTTTTGATCAACGGATATCATCATTAGCTCTATGGCCACGACCTAGGGTTGAGTGAAGCTCACGCCGAAAAGAACCGTCCCGTGCCGGTCAGGACTGTTATGGTGATTTCAGGTGTTCTGTCGACATTGCGAAGGCTTTCCCCTAACTGAAAATAGTGGTCCTGGTGCATGGAATTGAGCTTCTCAGGGTTGCTGATAGTTACGACCGCTATATGGCCTTGTAGGTGTACTGTTATCGGAGTTTGGGCCCTCATCCTGGGTCTGTCATCAATTCGATGCAAATTTTCACACTGTAAAAGCCCTATTCCACATTTATCCAAGAAAGCATCGGTCTCGCCCTCCGGCCTACTAGGCAACCTGCATATGCGGTTACCTCCCTATTTGGGTCGCCTGCATATCCAGTTTCGTCATTTGCGCAAGGCGTACCTCTGCTTGGAGATGATCCTTCTGCAACTAAAAGGCACAATGGTCTGGATCTACTTGTTCAGGAAATATGACCGAATGAGGCGGATTTTATATTAGAGTTTCTACGAGCTACATGGAAACTGGGTAGATGGTGAAAGCCACACCTCAAAGGTTTGATTTGATCCGATGCGTCTTTGGAAAGTGCACCTTCCAACGTTTCTCGACTGTAGTATTATCCACAGCACCAGTCAATCCACCCCATCTTCCACGGCAGGCCTTTTCCTCCTTACACCAACGCCTTGATTCGCAAACTAACCAACGAGCAATCTCATCCGCACACTCATTGACTGCTTCGAAAGGAACCTGGTGTGAATACCCTTTCATGACTACATCATGCACACGGCCAGCAACAGCTCCGCCACTGCCTCCCGTAGCAACGCCCGTAACCTGAAGTTTATCGCTCCTCAACTCCGGGAGACTTATATGGGACTCACTACCAAAGATGTATAGTACACTCGGTCGCAAATACGGTAATCGGGAAAACAGTGCTGTTATTTCTGGGCGGTAAAAGGGTATTGATGTCAAAAGCTCAGGGTCTAGATCTGGGTGGGTTAGGCGGTTTCTAATATCATTGGGGCCTGCATCAGGAGCAGGGAGGTCATGGTACGGTCGCCCAAACGAGGCAAGCTCCTGGGCCAGCGGAGTAGAAAGTGTCACAGGAGCTGACCTAGTAGACTGGTTGTTCTTCTCATGCGCAGGAGATTTCGTTGGGTCGTCCCGCAAGCCATATGTTACCAGCCGCTCGAAGGCACGTGGATCCCAGGTCTGGTAAAAGGCTTTTCGACGAAAGGATTCCGCCGCTGCCTCTCGGGATGGCCAATTTTCTCGTCGATGAACAGAGAACTGTAAATGAGGACGCAGCAGCGTACTGTGATCGTACAGATTCTTGTTTCTCAGACGAGTCACTGGACGTGTGATGGGTGGCTCGATGAGAACTATAGCCTGGAACAGTCGTGGATGGATGAGACAAAGGTTAACGCTTCGGATGAACATGTTAGCCAGCTATTTGCAACGGCCAAGATTCACTAATCTGGGGGAAGCGAACAGTGCAAAACTTCCAGCACTATGTGCAATAGCAACTATAGGGTGTGGCATTTCATCTCGTTTGGCATTGATCAATTGGAGAAGATCTCGGCTATGATCAAAGTGGCTCACTAGATGACCGTTATTCATTAGATTTGCTTGTCTTCCAACAATCCCATATTGTCTCTGATGGTAGGCTCACGGTCGATTCCAAGAAGCTCTTGGTTTACTATGCTGCTTTGACCCTGATGCGCGGGATCTGCCGCCCAAATACTACGAATACCGAGCCCGTCTCTATTGCACCGGACCAGCAATTCCTCACAGAGTGGCTCATAGAGCTCCTATATTGCCGGTAGCGGTCAGAGAGACTTCGTGCTATAAGGCCAATAGACATACCTTTGCAAACCCA